CGACTGATTCTGGGCACTGACCCCTGGATCAGGGGAACAGGGCCGGTTACTGGCTCTTTTAATGTTGAAGTGAATTTCGTGCTGGTGAAAGGGGCTGACATGGGAACCTAGGGCCTGCGATCTGCTCGGTGCATCGCATGCAACCTTCCCCCTGCACAAATCATGCACCTGAGTTCTCATCTCACCAGGGGCTGCTTCTAGGCATGATGGAGGAATTCACCTCGCCTCACCCACTCAGCCTCCAGCTCCTGGCTAACAGTGGACTAGTCCAGCTGCAGTTACATGGACATTACACTGGCTCAGGATCCATCCTCACCAGCCTTTCCTGAGACCCACCTGCCCCATCTGTGACAGCAGGGCCAACTCTTAGTCATTAGCGACCTGAGCTGGATTTGAGTGAAAACTTGTGAGTGGAAAAATTCCACCTCCCCTTCCCTGCACTCTTAATTGCAGAGCTGGCCGGCAGCACCTGTGACTCACAGGGCATATGTCCGTTGTTTCCTCAGCACCTAACGAGCAATAAATAAATAATCGCGGGAGGAATGTTTTATCTCCTAGACTCAGCTGGCGTGTTCCTCCTGCACATTTCCTCTGCTCGGTACGTTGTGTCTGGTGTCTCAGGCCTGTTTAGAAACCAATCGCTTCCCGAGAACTGGTGACTTGAGAACAATCCTTCCCTGAGTATCAAAGATGCCTGGCAGCTCCTTTCAGGAGACGATGACAATTGCCCCTTGTTTTGATTCACCCTCGTTCGGTAACGGATTGTGTTTCTACTCCCTTTGATTTACCACCCCAGTGGGGACGCACTGAAGCCATGATTTTGGCTGACGGTCCTGTCTGCAAAGGATACAAAGTGCTCGGGTTCCTTCATTGCTTTTTAATGACCTCTTGCAAAGGACTTGGAATGGAGAAGGCAATGGAGAAGGAAGATTAAAGAGCTGTGTTTTCTCCCCTGCTGCCCAGGAATATCCTGGCTCGGCAAACGTTAACTGCTGCGTGCTGTGTGTTTGGGGACGGCGGAAGGAGAAGAGCTGGTCTGATGGGAAGGGTTGTAATCACAAAACGTTATAACACATGCCTCCCAATGCCTATCCACTTAGCTGCTCTTCCCCCTGGTAGTATCTGAGCTCCACGCACTCACTAATGGATTTGATCCTCACAGCTGGGACGTATTTTCTCCACGTTCCAGATGGGGAAGCTGAGCCAGGGTGTGTCTACACTGCTCACCACGCCCATGCTCTGACTCAGGTTTGAGCCCAAGCCCCCCTTCCGTCCACACACACACCAGTCTGACTCGGGTCACTCAGAGCCTGGGACCTAGGGCCCTTCTTGGGGGGGTGGGTCAGAGCCCGAGTCCCGCTGTGACGTGGGTCCAAGCCCCTTCGGTTTGCACTGTGGACGCAGCTCAGGCCTCAGCCCCAAGTCCGAAAGTCTGTGTAGTGCAGCATGGTCATGTTAGCACAGTTGTGGGACCCAGGTCCAGCAATTGTAAACTGGGGTTAACAATGCAGTGTGGACACTCAAACACAGGCTTGGAAACACCCAGTCCACCAGCCCGGGTCCCCCAGACCCAGCCTACGCGACTTGCCCCAGGTCACACTGGACGCCCGTGGCACAGGCAAAAACTGAACCTCGCTCTCTCAGATCCTGCTCGGGTGCCTCACCCACTGGCCCATCCCCAATGGCTTTAATCGCCATTTTCCATCCAAAAAAACCAACCAACCCCTTCTGGTGGGAAATGTTCAGCCAGCTCAAATGATCAAGTGGGAACTTTAGAGCCGGACCCTTAGCAGCTGTACAGAACGTCAGGGGAGACACAGAAACCTACACCACACCCACTGTGGGTCTAGGTCCACCTCTGGAAATAGCGACAACCACCCCACCTTGCTCTTACATTAGTGCTTGGCAGCTCTCAGAGCTGGTCAGTGTCACTACTTCCATTTTGTGGTGAGGGAAACTGAGGCACAGAGCACTGAAATGCTGCACAAGAATCCTATGCCAGAGCAGGGAATTGATCCCAGTCCCATGTGAGGGCCATAACCACTGAACCACCCTCCCACTCTCCTCTCCCTGCTCCTTTCAGCCCTGCCTCCCCTTCGCCCCAAGGCCCGGCCTTGAGCTGTTGCCATCAGCCATGGATCAAACTGGTTTAATCGGGGTTTCTGTTCCGGTTCCAGCCCACTGTACTGGCTTCCTCCTCCACCCCTGTAAATGAATCGTGCCCGTTATTCCTGACGGCTTGGAGAGAGGCCTGGGAATTGGGGGAAGTGAGGGGGCTTTGGGAGCCATCACTCCAATCAAAGGCACCTCAGCGTGGCACATTCCGCGATCTAATGCCGGGGGAGAGGCCCAGACCTCTCCAGCTGGCTCCTTCTCAGGGATTCACAGGCTCGGCAGACGGCTTCGCCGGCCAGTCGCCTCCCCTCATCCCAGCCGCTTGATTTCCGAGGAGGCCAGCCCACTCCAGCGCCCGCTGAAGTCCAGGGAAAGTCTCCCCATGGTTTCAGGGAGTGTCAGGATCAAGCCCTGGGTTTCCTTTGATCCCAGCAGGTTGAGTCACAGGGAGGAGGGGATGCTGGGCCTCTCAGCCAAAGTAGGGGTGATGGCCACCGGCTCGGCCAACTCACCAGGGACCGAACCCGAGCTAAAAGCATGAGCTAAAGCCCCAAGTCTCATCAGCTGGGGTTGAAACAGCCTGCTGCCCTGTGCAGATCAGGCACGGGGGGCGGGGGGGGACCTGTAACACCCCCCACACACACCCAGTGGGCACATTGCAGGGCCCACCAGCAGGAGTCTCTCCTCACTAGATCTTCACACCTGAGATCGTAATATCCGAGCTGGGGTCAGGATGCAGGGTGCGTTTCCAGGGCATGAAACTGGCATAACTAGGGGGTGCTGGGGCAGGACAGAGGGGTGAGGCAAAGTTCGGGGGGGGCTGGACCAGCAGAGGGGGCTGTAGGTTGGGATCAAGGGGCATCGGCAGACTCTGGTGTGGGGGAGTCCAGAGCTGGCATAGCAGGGGGGGGGCTGCGGGCTGGGATTGAGGAGCCTTGGGGCTGGACCAGCAGGGGGGCTGTAGATTGGGATTGAGGGGCATCGGCAGACTCTGGTGTGGGGGAGTTCAGAGCTGGCATAGCAGGGGGGCTGGTGTTGGGCTTGGGGGGCCCTGACAGGGCTAGATGTGCAAAGGCAATCTTGCAGAGCACCTGCGCACACCGGCCATTGCTTCCAGCCCTCGCCTTCCCTTGGATTAAATTGCATGAGTTTGTAAAGCGGGGGGACGGGGGATTAGCTCACTGGGAGCTGTGGCGTTGCTCAGCGTCCGGTGGTCATGCAGAACTGCTGCCACTGTTGACTTTGGCCCCCCGGCCGGGATGAGAAGAGAGGCCCGGGGCTGGCCCAGCTGCTCTGACTGCCGGAATTTCCTTCCCCTGCCAGCTCCACACAAGACCCTTTTATTTGCCTGGGTGGGTTTGACTCCGGAATCGGTGTCTGCATCGGCTTAAAAACCCCCCAGAGGTGCGAGAGAAAAGCAAAGCTCCAACCAGCACCAACATCCGTCTCGCTTTCGGGGGAGACTGCGGAGCCAGACCCTGCAGAGGGCCAGTACTGTGGGCCCAGGCCTGACTGGTGTCGATTTGGAGTAACTCCACTGAGCTCTGTGGGGTGGCTCCAGGTTTACACCACTAAGTCTGGACGCAGGATCTGGCCCTTAGCTTTCACTCAGGTCTTCCTCAGGCAAAATCCCTGTCACTGAGAGTGTGGCTGGAGGACACTGGGACAGAATTTGGCCTGGCAAAAGATCCTGCTGTTTGGAAACTTGGGGCCTCACACCCCTGCTGCCTGTCTTCTGCAGTGACAGCCGCAGCCCGGCTCCCCGTGACTTGCCTGATGGCGCTAGTCAGGGGGAAGGGGCAGATTTCAAAAGCGCAAGGGGCTGCAGCATTGCCAAGTCTTGCGGTTTGATCGTAAGTCTTGTGATGGGGAGAGGGGTGTTTTGCTTAAAGCCCCAGCTCCCGGAGTCATGTGATCTTGAGAATCTCTGCTTTCGTTTTACCCCCCAAAAGCCGTAGGTTTCTAGCCTTGCTGGTAGCAGAGAAAAGGTGGAAGATGTGACCCGAGTCTGACCCTGAGTGCCCTGATGGCCAAGGAAAGTACCCCAAACTGTATTATTTTTAGGAAAATTTCATGATGTTTTTGTGTGTGGCCTGACTCATGATTTGTGAACGCCTGGGGCTGGCCATGCGGAGAGCGGCTCCTCACTACTATCGCAAGTCAGTGGGCGCTGGGTGGACAGCTGCCCGTCATGCCCCCTCAGTCCTCGCTCGGGCAGCATCTCCATTCACCATTGGGAGCGATGTGTCGATGCAGGCGCTCCGCAGCCGCCAAGGAGTTCAGGACTCGTGTGAACAGAAATGGTTTTGGGTGTCAGTGGACATGGAACTCCCGAAGTGCCAGCAGAGACCCCTTTGTCTGTAGCCCTCAGACAGCCCTAGCCAGGGGCCTCTTTGTGGGCAGGGGAGAAGCTCCTCCAGAGAGCAGCCCCACGCCCCTCCTGTCCCAGACCCTGAGCCCTACCTTCTGTGGAACGAGCCGAAGCACCCACGTGTTCCCTCAGGTGTGTGTAAGGGCAATAAGCGCGTGCTGGATTGTGTGCTGTGTCGGACCGGCACCGTGTGCAGCAGGCAGCCTGGCGTGCAGGACTCTCCTGCACTACATGAATTGTATCCCCCTGCTGCAGCGGTGTTGCCCCGTGGGCATGTTGCATTGTGGTCCAGTGGCCACACAGTGTCGCGATTCGGCTACTGTACCTCTACCAGGACTAGAAGGGGGGCCCGGTTCCATAAAGGACAGGGTGGAGGGCTGCACTGGCCATTCTACACGGGAACCTCGGACCACTGAGGCTAGGGACAGCCCTGGTGCAGTAGACTGGCCCTCCCTGCCCCACCCTCCCGAAGCCACAGCGTGGCTGGAAGAGAAGCAAATCCGTGCACGCACAAGAGGAGACGAGAAAAGGTTTAATAAACTGGAGAGAGAGTCTCAGGAGAGAGGAACCTTTCTGCGGTTAGGTGCTAACCCCGGAGGCTGGTCACACCGCTCCGAGAGCCCGTTCCAGCTGCAGACACCAGCATGGCCCCAGGACTGCAGCAGGTGGCTAGAGAGCTGGTGACATGCAGGCTGCTTGGAATGGGGTGTGGTCGTCCTCACGTGTTAGTGTGAAGCCCTCGGTGTCGCTCTGTAGGGGCTGGATTCTGAATCCCATTTCCAACCCCCCAGCAGCGGCGACCAGCCTTCCTTGTTGGTCTTAATCATGACAGCACCCTAACCTGGGAAGTGAGTCCTTCTGCTCCTGGAGGGTCCAATAATGCTGGCATGGGGTGGCTCCCCATCTTAGGAGAGTGGCTCCAATCTCCCCAAGACCAAGGGACCAGTTGCACCCAAGGATTTCCAAAGAGCACCTCCTGGCTACATCCGTCGGGGCCTGATTTGGTCACCAGCTGGTAGCTGGACATCAGAGCAGACAATTAGTGGCATCCCCAGTTAGTGGCCAGGCTTGCTTTGTGTGGGGGTGGGTGGGGGTGTCCTGCACAGGCTGAGACTCTGATCGGGATCCCCATGGTCTGTTGGTACCAGGTGAGCCAGAAAGGAGCTTAGCCGAGCTCCTGTTTGCTGGGCCTCCATAACCAAGCCAACACTTCTGCTGAGCTGCTCTTTGCACGGCTCCAGGTGCCGATAGCATTCACCTCTCCTGGGAGCCACTAAACACCTAATAATCCCTCCTGCTGCCCCCTTCACCCAGCAAAGGGATGTGTTGAAAGATGACCCCCCCACGCCCCAAAAAAGATCTCAACCCAAAACTGTTTATAGCAGAAGGAGTTTCCACGTGGAGGGAGAGGTCTGCTCAGGGGTTCTCCCCAAACTCCATCCACAGAGGTTCACGAGGAAGGGGGCCAGGTGTCCATGCCTTGGACTGCCGTAGAGGAGGCAGGCTGGCGGATGACGTCTCCATCCTGGATCCCGAGCTTGGTCCCACCTCCCTGCTGCAGCCGTTAGTAATAATCGTCTGACTCCTCGCTCTCCACGTCGTCCTCGAGCCCGGGGTACGGCTTGGGCAGGGACAGCCCCGTCATGTTCAGCTGATCTGAAAAGGCAGCACAGAAGCCAAGGGGTACAGTTCTACCTAATCTCCGCTGTATGGGTCCCAAGCCCCTCCACCTCTCTCTGCCCCGGGGATGGTTAACCCAACCGCTCGGTGGCATCAACACCCTGAATCCCAATGGGCCAAATCCACCCCAGGGCTAATCCCGCTGCCATCAGTGAAGTTTGATTAGTGCCCAAAGCCAAACACAATGTGGAGCTGCTTCTGCTAACTCACAGCAGCGGGTCCAAGCAGCCCAGTGGCTGGAACAAGGTGCAAGAAGCCCCCACAGTGGACAATGATGGAATAACCTGCCCCTGAGGGCGGCTTCTTCCTGACCCATCAGCGAGTGGTTGGGGATGCCCTGAAGCAGGCAGGTTTCTAGCCCTTCTAAACAAAAATAACGTATTCATTCTGATCTTGTCTAATGGAACCAACAGCTGTGAGCGTTCACATTTCCTGCACGCACGCACCCACCCCTCCTCCCGCGCTCTCCTGAGCCCCACACGTATCCATCCTCCTGTACTTTGGCCTAAGAGTCCCCACTTGTCTGTAGGGGCCAAGAATGGGTAAGACACCGGGCAAGGTGTGTGTTGCGTCCCCCTCAAGTGGCTGAGCTGCTAGAGGATAACAGCCCACTGCTGCCTCAGGGAATGGAGTCCTTCCTTTAGCTCAGGTGGTAGAGTGCTGCTGAGGGCGGACCCACAACCAACTCCCCTGCCAACTCCCTCTCCCGAGCTCCCGCTCTCCTAGCCGAGCTGACAGAGCTGAGCAGCGAGCCAGAGGCAGGGAAACCCCAGTGTAGCTTTACTGCTGATTGGGGAAGGCCAAACGTCCTGGGCACTTCGAGAGGACAGCAGAACCCGGCTCCCTGAAGCGGAGGTGCTGGCCGGGGGGCGTCTCACTTACCCGGCGTCAGGACCGTCAAGCTGGCAAGTGCAGCCACCTCCCCGACCCTGTTCCTGGCGAAGCAGCGGTAGGTGCCCTCGTCCGTCACCCGGACGCCTTGGATCTGCAGCCAGCCGGTCACTTCGTATTTCTGGGGGCCTCCCCTGAACTGGAGTCAAACACGTTCAGCTAGTGTCAGCCGGGCGTACGGCAGAGTGAGAAGCCGGCGGCTGCGGGGGTCCAGCTGTGGGAATCTGCCAGGCCACCCCCAGGACAGTGCCAAGGAAAAGGGGTCTCTCTTGGCCAGCCTCCTGGGGCCAACCTCCTTCCCAGTGTAATTCCAATGCAGCCAGAAATGTGACGCCCCAGGGTGAATTTAGCCCATCAGCATCAGCACAAAAGGCAACATGCCACAGCCTGTGACCGAGACAGAGGCCTGGCATTGCAGCCCTAGGATACTGGCTCCCTCTAGTGGCCTGGTAAAGGTGGTGGCTCTACGCAGCTGGACTAACACAACACCGGGCCCTTGGCTGGCAGTCGCAGCTGTGCAGGGATTTCTGGAGGACGTAGGCGAAGGAAGAGCTCTTTAATGGTAACTGAGGCCAGACAGAAAGCCATGTTTCCAGGAATAGCCCCCGTGCAACACCTCTATCCAGAGACCCCCATCGCAGCCGGCTGGGAAACGCGACTCTCTGGATCCAAACTGGAACAGGCCAATTTCTTTTCAGATGTGAAAATCTGAGGCTTTCTTTTTTTAAAAAAAAAACAACCCTCAAACACTTAAAAGGGTCTGGGCAATACCCACCCAGCTATCTGGTTTTCTGCTTGGGTTTCCCCCCCTCCCTCTGCATAAACAGGATACACAAAGCCAGAAGAAACCAATCGATCTCCGAACATTTATGTGTCACCCCTGCTCTGCCTTGCCTGGAAACCCAGGGCCTTTGAGCTGCCTCCAGGACTCTGCGCTGGGGAATAAGAGATGCCAAATAGAGGGAAGGCTGGAATTGCTCTTGATTACCAGTTCCATGACAGTCCAGAGCCATCTATTTTCATCCAGCATTTTTATCTGATCTGGGAACCACCCTTCACCCCCTTCCCATTATCATAGCATAGAATCCCTTCCTTCATCCCTGGTGACTCTTCCCCCAACTTCATCTGACCCAGGCACCTCCACCCACCTCGTGCTGTCCTATCCCAGCAAGACACTGGAATTGCAACACTTTCAATGAGGCTGTAGGTGACCAGTGAAGCAGACGGCTGTTAGCCTGTAGTTAGTGGCATAAGGTTACCAGCTTTCCAGTTGCTATCAGAGTCTATGTAGTCCGTCCCCAGTCAGAGGATGATCGTGGCAGGCCACATGGTCTCCAGTGCCTTGTACAAAAGAAGGCTCAAGTGATAAGGATTCCATCACTTATCTCTGGAGACCCTCCCATGGTCTAATGTCTCAATGAGAGCAAGTAATTCCTTGCAGGACTCAATTTTCCTTTGCTTAATTTCCTCCCATTACACCTACTTCTGCCTCCACGGCCCACCCTAAACAATGCTTCTTTTCTCTATTGTTCATGATGCAGAAAGGTCATTGAGTTCCACCCAGAAGTGGCTGCATCTCACTGATGATGTGCAGTTTATTATTGTCTGGCACAAATATACCAGCTTCCGGGTGAATTCTGGTGAACAGCACTGAAGTCCTGAGAAAATCCCACAGCTGCGAGGGGCCGGGTGGAAAGCAACAGAAGGGATCACCTACTTCAGGAACCGGGGACGTGGCAATACTGAGGGATACAACAGCCCGTCCGCAGGCAGGAGGTGCTGAGGAGAGAGGTAGAAAACACTGCCCCACAGCTCAGGGCAGGCTTGCTGTCCCTCCAGCGAGCTGGGGTTTCCTCTGACGACAGAGCGACCCACCCCAGCTGCCAGGAGCTCTGATCCAGCAGCTCACCTGTACAGAGATGTGGGGGTCATCTCCCGGCAGCAAGATCTCCGCGCCGTCCTTCCTCCACTCAATGGACGCCATGGGGTAGGCGAAGACCTCACAGCCGAAGATCACGTCCTGCCCGGTGACGTTCCACACGTCGTAGGGAGGAGACAAGATCTGGGGCTCTGGGGAAGGAGGTGGAGGAGAGAGAGATGAGATAAGGGACCTGTTGGTTCAGAGGATTGGCCAGCCCCTCGCAGGCCCAGCCGAACCCACGTGGGCTTGGCGCTGCCAGGGCCCAGCCCCACAGCGGAGCGTCCAGTTGGGAGATACGTGCAGAGCAAGAGGTCCAATCTCAGGCTGACGGAGACACTTCTGTAGCGCTCCTCGGGGCAGACGGACATACCCCAGCCCAGCATCCCACTCAGACAGCAGCCATACCAGGACAGGGCCCGGTTCCTGGGCCCGGTTCCGGTCTCTCACCACTGGAGTCATTCCTGATCAGCCCAGGCCTGATCGCTGCCTCCTACCCACCCCACGGCTGCTGGGAGCGCTCTGCACTTCATTGTCTGTGCCACCATCTCAGCACACCCCGAGGACCAAACACCCACCCTTGGCTGGCCGGCCCCCTTCTTTTCCCACCTCGGTGCTCTGCCCATTCTGCATTTCCCCCCAAGTTGTGCCCGCGTTCCCTCCATCTGCCCGGCAGGGGGATGGAGCCCTGATGCGCCTTCGTGAACATCCCTCTTCCAGAGACGGCCGCAGCCTGTTGCATCCATCCCAGGCCAATGCACCCGCTGGAGGCAATGCCGCTCCCGGCTTCAGGACCATTTAATTTGGAACTAGGGGCCGTAACAACCCCACTCAGCCCCAGAGACTGGGCATCAGTGTCTACTTGTGAATGTGTTATCACCGCAGGCAAGGGAATCTTTCCTAGCCGCTAGGCCAGCGGACTGGGAGTCCGGACTCCTGGGTTCCACTCCCAGTTCTCCCAGCCTGGCCTTAGGCAAGTCACAACCTGTCAAGGTGGGGAGATGGGTGCTAATTCACTAGTGAACATCTGTAAAGTGCTTTGAGATCCTCAGCCGAAACATGCCAGGGGAGCAGGCAAAAGTCCAGGGTGGAACGAAAGCAGAGCGATTTGAGGAGCGGCCGTTCGTTAGGATGGCAGCTCAGCGGGTGCCACTTTCTCATTAAAGACCTTGTCGGTCTTCCCAGCCTAAGCCCCTGTAACAAGGCTTTCAGCAAAGTCGCCACACACTCAAAGCATGCCCCTCACATGCCGATCATGAGGCCAGGCAGACTCAATTAGCCACCCCACTGTGTTACCTTATTGCAAGCTGTTTAACCCCTGCAATCATCCAGTGTTCTCTGGTCCTCTGAGACAGACCCTTTACCTTTGTCTTCCCAGCTACATTTTGCCCCTCTGCCTCCCCGCCACATGCTGGCTTGCTTCCTGCTGCACCAACAAACCCAAAGGTTAACGAATCCTGAGTGACCTCCCGCAAAATCAGGGGATTGGCTTCATGCTCATTTTGAACCAGGAGTCAAGGCTTGGCGTTTTTCATTCACCTTCTGCATTTCGAGCCTTTAAGCTTCATGATTTCAGGCTTTTGTCTACAACCAGAAGGGCTAGAAACTTGTATTTAAAAAAAAAAAAGAGAGCCCAGATTCTCCCAAAATCCTTTGACTCCAGGAGCTGAGGCTTTAGGAAAGATATCAAACGGCATGAGAGCTGGCAATGCTGTAGCTTCTCTGGCTCTCCCAGCTGTAGTAGACAAGCACTTACAATAATCCCTAGCACTTTTCATCCTTAGATCTGAAAGTGCTTCCCAAAGGAGCTCAGTATCAATTATCCCCACTATACAGCTGGGCAAACTGAGGCATTGAGAGGGCACCCGGTAAACCAGTGGAAGAAGCAGGAGATGAACCCAGGTCTCCTAAGTCCCAGTCCCCTGTCCAATAGGCCACACTTCTACCCAGTCACAGGGAGGTAAATCAGGGATGTTATAGGGTTACTTGGTCCCACCTCAGTGCAGAGACTGGACTAGATGACCTCTCAAAGTCCCTTCTAGTCCGACATTTCTCTGATTCTGTGTGCAAGGATCTTTCCAAGCACGTACGAAAGCTGCTCCCACCATACATATAACACAGGATAATAGTCACAGTAGCCTGTGGGCAGCCTTTCTGGGTAGAGCGCCGATAGGGGGAAAAACGTGGTTAAAAACGTCACCAAAAAGAACTGTTTTTGCCCTGTGTTTCCACCCTAACCAGAAGCTCAACTGATCACTAGGCCCCATTGCAGACCCGAGGGGTTGAGGTCACGGTGGAGAAGCACCCTTTCCCCCCAACAGCTCGTCCGAGATCATGGTGGGGGTCTCAGAGACCGCGACGCCTTGGTTTGATGCATGCCGCACTCTCCAGTCCTGGGGGCTCTGCCCGCTTGTGAAGACAGCGGCTGTTTCGGGCTCTGCCTCGCTGCAGGAGACGGTGCTTTGGTTCTTTCTCGCTGTTGGTTTGCTGAATCTCCAGCACTAGTGGGACTGAGACTGAAAATACAGCATCCAGGCAGAAAATACAGCTGCAAAATTCAGCGTTGGATTTTGACCCCTTCCAAACTGTGGGATGTTGGGGGGGGGGAGTTTTCCAGCCTATCTCGGGCTGAGCCATGACACCAGCACACTTGGTACCATCCCTGCCTGGTCTGGTAGTGCAAGCTCTCCAGGGAAATGAGATCATCAAGCCACCAACAGCTCCAGCCAGGAAATGGGGAAGAGACGCCCGCGGGTGCTTTCTCGGTTTGTTTGTTTTAAAAATTGTCTGACCCATTTAAGAGGCAGAATAACATCCCAGCAGCAGCCTGGGGCTTCTCAGTCACTTCTCCCTCCAGCGAAGGGCAACATTCTTCCAAAGCCACAAGGTTTGGAAAGCGAACTTGTTAAGTACCAGCCTGGTCCTCTAATCCCCCGCGAGAGCCTGCTGACCACAGAGGAAAGGGCCCAGCAGGCTGCCCAGCCCAGAAACCTCTCAGTGCAGCTATCTTAGGGGAAGTGAGGGGGGCACGCCCCCCCAGCACAACCTCACAGGCGAATTATGGGAGAAGGCGTGTCTCGGTGGCACCTCCTAGCCCCCGGGGGACAATTCGTGTTCCTTCTCCGAGGGGTGACATCAATAACACGCAGGGTCTCAGCTATGCCAAGGCTCCTTCATGCGACTCCAGCTGCTTAAAGGAAGAGTGAATCCCCCAGCCCACATGGCGCCGGCACCTAGGCATAGAGAGCACATTGGGGGCACGACTGGTGCACACTCGACTGCCACTTTTCTCTGCGCCCTCAGGCCCTGGAAAGCAGATGTAAATTAGAGCAGCCCTGAGGCTCCTCTAAATTACTTCCAGGACCAAGCAGGCTCTAGAATGCAAGAACCACGAAGGTGGCTTAAAGCCACCACCTTACTCCTACCCCAAGTGCAGGAAAGGGGGAACTGAGACTCTCAGGGTTACTTGGTTAGCTACAGCCCAGGTTTCATGCCAGGCCCTGCATGCACTATTAGCTCTCCAGGCGAACTTGCAGAGGACGAGGGTGGGGCTGCTGCATCTCTCCAAGACTGGGGGCTTGTCTCTGCCACATACGATGGGAGGGGTTTGGGAAGGGTTGAGGGTGTGTGCAGGGCAGGGCAGTTTTCTGAAGAGGCTGTCGGGGGTGGAGGGTTAGCTTCCGGTATTAATTTTTGTAGCCTGTGTCAGGGGCTCCCACAATCTCAGATCGGCACCTTTATTAGTATTTTTATAAATCCAGCTACCTACCTAAACATGCTGAGGACTGACACAGCTGCAAGCAACTGGAAGAAAAGTCAGTTATTTGCCTCGTTCAGAGCTTGCAGCCACATTCCTGTGGAGTATCCTTGCCAAGGAATTAGATCTTACAAGATAAAGCACTTCAGAGGGAGGTTACTGTGACGGGAATAAGCTGTGAAGCAGTTAGCATATTTGGACATGTAAGGGGCTAACACTAGGTTTCAGAGTGAACACCTCACTGCACCAAACAAGGGCAGACCCATCTCTTTCTTAGCAGGATTGTTTCAGTGTCTGTCTGCAGGCTCAGGCAGGCAGCAGTTCATTCGAGGTTTTCTTCACAATAAAAAAGGATAGAAATGGTAGGTTATTTAATGAAAGCAAATTTGACAGAAAATACTGGAAATAAAAAAAAAAACCCACTAACCCCAGGCTATAGTGTGGAATGGTGTATATTTCTTCTGTCTCTTTCCAAAACCTACCCTACAACTAGAGATGGTTTTTAAAAAGTAAATTAAAACAAGTCAGAAGACCAGATTAAAGCAGCCCAAATTCCCATTTCCAGAAGCAATTGGAAGATCCCAGAAAGACTGAGGGGTGGGGCAGCTATTTCTGTTTGCAATGACAACTGAGGGTGAAATAAGTCAGCTTGATTTAAAACTAGTCAGCAATGAAACCAAGAATTTGCTAACAACTCTCTGGAATTTTCACATGTGTTTTGAGTGTATTAGCTTCTGAAAACCCCCAGAGATCTTCCCAGAAATTCTTGGCAAAGGTCCCTGAAGATTTCCACTAGGGACTATTTGCTGTGCTACACTGGAAAAGCAGGACAGTTAAATCACTGCTCTGCTACAGGCTTCCAGCATGACCTGGAGTGTGTCACTTCATCTCTCTGTGCCTCGGTTTCCCATCTGAAAGAGACCTACAACTCCCATTGTTATTGGGACTCCTGATCTGGCGCACGGAATGTACCCCTGGATCTTTGGCTGGCATGCAGGGGAAGGCTGAAAGAAAGGTGGTGGAAGGGAAGGTGGTTTGATACCAGACACTACCTGATTCACAGGGTCCCTCGTGAGCCACAGTGAGATTTGCCTCGGGATGGGCATGAAACACCTCCTGGAACTTGCAGATCTGGGTGTAGGTCTTCCCATCAGAGCCACACAGGGCCTGGCTGGAGAGGCAAGCGCACTGGGGCTCGGGCACCTCGCCCTTCCGGAGGTCCCCCGTGTCCAGCTTGCACTCCAGATGGTCCCCGCACTTCCCGTAGAAGTGATTGGTGTTGTCTAGGTCACAGATCTGCCCTTCCAGGTTGGCACACTCCCAGCAGCAGTCGCATGGGTCCCGCACCATGCCTGCCAGGCATCCCCGGGGGGTAGGGCATTCCTCTGGGTTGCAGTCTGAGCAGCTCTCTCCTTCCTCCAGCAGCCTTTGCCAGCCGCGCTGCAGGTAGTCCGGGGCACTGGGCAGCGCCCCACAGGGCCATGTCAGGGCCCAGCTCAAACACAGCAAGAGAAACAGAAGTTGAGAGGGGGTCGGGTTGGCAGGTTTGGACATTCTCACGGGCTCTCTGGGTCTCGGAGTCTGGTCGCCACCATCACTTAGACACTGGACCCCTGTGCAGCATCTCCCTCTTCAAAGCCAAGAAGCCATTAACGTCTGCAAGGAAAGAGAGCTAGGTTACTGGCTTACTAGAACACGGAGATGTTTTTGTCTGGGGAGGCCCAGAGCATGGAGCAGATCTCTGACCATTCAGACATTTGGGTCTGATCAGCATCCCACAGTGTCCCATGGGTCTTCTCCAGAAGGAGAGAGGGAAGGAGGAAGGGCCCCTGTGGGAGGACAAATGAAAGTGTGGGGGTTTGGAAGAGAGAAGTGATAGGAAAGGTGTTTTATTTCCAATCGTGTAGCAGGAGCATGGATCCAGTGGTTCTCAGGAAACCATCAACAGCGTATTTCCTTTCCGGGCGGGTGATGGGCTTTCATATTATTTGAAATGGTTTGGCCGGCCAGCATTAGCTGTGCAGGGCACCCCCGGGGTTCAGCCACCGATTTATTTTGATTCAGGCAGAAGGGCCCGTTACAATCGCTAGATCTGACATCCCTCCTCGCACAGGCGTTTCAGCCGGGGGTTCCTGTCTCCAGCCCAGAAACAGCTGGCTGCACTACAGCATGTCCTTTAGGAAAACAGCCAACCTCAAATTAAAGACTGCAGGCCACAGAGAATCTACCACATCCCTGTTCCGGTGGTTAATCCCCCTGCCTGTTAGAAATGTGCATCTCGTGGCCCATCTGAATTGGATCATTTCTGCTAGATGAAAGCATCTTCTGCCATCGGCCATCTTCCCTCCGCCCCTGCCCTGGGCAGGGAGCTGGATCTAGTCGTGGTCAAGTTGCCTCTTAATCTTCCCTTCAGTAGGCTAAATAGATGGAGATTCTTGGCGCTGGGAGGGAGTGTGTTCTACTGGTTAGTGCAAGCGACTGGCAGCCTGGGCCCGTCACTGCTGAGCCTCAGATTGCCCACGTGTGACACGGAGATAATGCGACCTATGGGTGCTTCACCTCCCTCCTGGACAGGGTGCATTGGGGCTGCGAGCCTGCTTTGAGATCACTAGGGCGTGGCAGTGTTCTCTTAGGATCAAAGGACCCAGCTACTTAGGTGGAGGCAGTTGCCAGCCTGGGACATGGCAAATTAGAGAAGCAATTCCTTCTCCCCCAAGATCACAGAGACACAGGAGGGCCCCCAGCCACCCCAGCGATGGGTGTCTTAAATGTGCCTCGTCCACTGTGGTTTTTGGAGGTGGGAGTGGGGCAGAGGAGGCGTTCCCCAGAGCCACACACCTGTTTCCATTGACTTCAGTGGGAGTTTATTGGGTGCTCAGCACCGCTCAGACAGCAGGTCCTTAGCTGGGTTTAGCTGCAAGTGCCTCCTGCACAGGCCTGACTACAGAGCGGACCTCTCCACCTCGCTCTCTGTGTCTGCTACGCGCCCCCTACCCCGGTGGGATCTTTAATCCAGATCTCCGCGTTCCCCAGGCAGCAGCTGAGAGCCCCAAAGGGGAGATGCATCCCGCAGAGCCACGCTGAGCTTTCGTCCACCACAAGCAGCTGCTCTTGCAAGAATCGATTACCATCTCCTCTGTCCCCATCCAAACATACCCAGAGGAGCCGGCTGGTTCTGCAGGGACGGAGCTGGTTCATCTCTAGACAAAACCAGCTGCCAGGAGCAAAGCCGGAACGCTGCTCCCAGCTGAGCAAGGCTTTTCATTCTCTTGAGGTTCCCTGTGCTCTGACTTTGCTGCACCCCACTTTCCCGTGTTGCTTCCCCCCCAAGAGCTGGCCAGGTGACCACACGGAAATGCTCCCATCCCCTCTGAGGCACTCAAATACTTGCCACGGTGCTGAGGCTGAGCATGCAGAAACTGGGTGCCTCAGGGCTTGTTCTAAGTCACGCCCAGCTGCAGAGCCCCCCACAATGCCTTTCCTGGGGGTCGCCAGGATGCAGCAGCACTCCAGCCCCACATGTGCCCCCTGTGCGGTCCCTACAGCTGATCCCTGGGCCTCCTCTAGCCCGAGGGATGCTGCAGGCGCTTTGCCCTGTGCTTTGTTTGGCATTTTTGCAGCTGGTGGCTTTGTCCTGCCTGGCCCAGTGCTTCAGAGGGGAAAAACTCAATGCAAATCACTCTCTCTAGACTCCAGACGGTCCCCTCCGGCCCAGGCCGGACGGCAACTTCCTCCTGTTCCCCAGCGAGTGCCCACTCTTCCCCTTCCTCTAGCACCTCCTCCGGGAGGATCTCAAAGCCCTTTCCAAGCATTCATGGATTAACCCACCTCACAGCCCCATCTCAGACTGGGAAGCGCTATCCTCCCCACTTGAGGGGGAGGCAAACTGCAATGAGCAGGAGGTATCCCAGGCCCTACAGCAAGATGACATCAAGGAGCAGAGTCCAAGAGTCCTGGCTCTCAGGCCTCCTGCTCTGACCACTAGACCACACTCCCTTCCCAGAGCTGTGAGCGCAGAACCCAGGAGTCCTGGCTCCCAGGCCCCTGCTCTGACCTCACTTGCTAACCCGAGCTGAGAACAGAGCCCAGGCTCCCAGGCCCCTGCTCCGACTGCTAGGGCACACTCCCCTCCAGGAGTCCAGCACAGAGCTGGCAACTCCTGAGTCCCAGCCAATAATCCTACCTAAGGGCAGGGCAGTGAAAAGCTCCTTGTGGCTGGCCTGGGGTTGGGGAGGGGCCCTGCTGTTCTATCAACACCCCCCGGCCATAAACAACATCCTGGGTCTCCAAAGCCCCCGCACAGCTGTGCGCCCCCCCCCGACACGCCCCCTTCCAGAGGCCGGATCCGAGCTCTTGCAGCTCCGCTGTGACCCGAGCCGTCGGGGGCGAGCACCCGCTTGCTCCCCCGGGCGCTGCAGGGCAGGCTCCCCCCGGGGACGATGGGGAGGCCCCCGTGCGCTCCGGAGCGGAGAGGCCGCCAGGCAAGGGGCTGAGCGCAAAGGCCTGGCTCCGGAGCGGGAGCGCCGGTTCGGTCCGGGTCCCAGCTGGGTCGGATCCGGTTCGGCCGGTCGCAGAGGCCGCGTGAGGCGCCGGCCCCCGGCCGCCTTTGGGGGTGAAATCGGCCCCTCTCCAGTGCCAAGAAGGGGGCGACACTTTGGGTACCCCGTGGTCCCCGGAGCTGAGCGCCCCGGACTCCCCGCTCCCGCGTGGGCGCAGCAGCCCGAGTCCTTACCTGGGGGGCGCCGGGGGGCTGCGCTGGGGGGCCCCGCCGGCCGAGTGGCTTTTCCAGCGGGCTCGCTCGCCCCGCTGATGTCAGAGTGAAACGTGACTCCCCGGCCGGAGCCCGAGCGCTCAGCGGCTCGCCTGGAGCCCGGCCCGCTGTAACCGGACACCCCGCTCGCCAAGCGGCCCCTGGCTGGGGAGACCGGCCCAGCGCCTCGGGGTGGGAGACTCGGCCCCGGGGGGAGCTGGGCGCCTCCAGGAGAGGTTACCAGGGCTAAAGAGGGGCTGGGGTTCTGGCCTGGCACCCGGGCAAGCCAGCTCCAAGGCCCTGTTGGCATAGGGCTAAGGCCAGAAGGGACCGTGATCGTCCAGTCTGAGCCCCGGCCCATGGCAGGCCACAGACGCTTGCCCACCCCTCCCCAGGTGTGCAGCTGCTGGCCCCGGGGCTCAGAGTTGTGCTAACACTGGCCTGCCCCATGCAGACCGTCTGACCCGGGGCTGCGGCTTGAGATGTGTACCCCATGCAAACTGGTGGGGCTGAGACCCGAGTCGCAGCGGGACTCAGGCTCTGACCTCCCCGAGCGGGGTCCTAGGACTGGGCCCTGAGTGCTTGGGGACCTGAGCCAGACTGGTTTGCATGTGGACAGAAAGAGGGTTGGGGCTCAAACCTGAGCCAGAGTCCAGGCCTGGTGTGCAGTGTAGACAGACCCCCCTGTGCCTCAATTTCCCCAGCAGTACACTGGGGATAACAGCACTGCCCTGGCTCATGGGGTGGATAAATATGGTAAAGATAGTGAGGTGCTCAGGTAATGAGGGCCAGGAAAGTACCATAAGGCCAGTTTGCAGGTGGGATTTTAAACCAGTGTAGTTAGACTAGTGTATACCTGTGTGTGGACGCTCTTTTGTCAGTTTCTGATCAGCTTACTTCACTTTAGGTCAATGGGGAATTGGCTCAAGCTAAATGGAAACAAGCTGCTCTTAAATCAAACCAGAGCATCCAGCCCGCAGAATCTGTTTGAATGAAACTGATTTAAAAATCAATTCAAAGGACACCAGTGTAGAGAAGTCCGGAAATAGGGACAAGGGCAGTGACGGGGCGATGGGCCTTAGCTGCAAGAGGCAGAGTTGATTCCCCCAGTGCCTGGGGCACTTCAGATCCAGGTTTTCATCTCTAGCAAACACCAAGGAGGGACAGGCCTTGCTTTGGGGGATGCCTGGCAGTCTACCCAGAACTTAGGGGGTGACACTGGGAAAGGGGCCATGTAGGCTAGTGATGCGGGAAGGGTCCTGCTCTGAAGATCTGTGGAACAGTCTGCCGAGGGAGCCCCATGGTGGGGGACATTTCAAACAGGACTGTTGGGAGCAATCCTGCAATGGGACATTGGGCTGGGCCTGAAGAGACCTGGGGTCTTCTCCCAGCCCTGCCACTGATCTGCGGCGTGACCGTGGACAAGTCCTGTTATGGCTTCATGCCTCGATTTCCCCATCTGTAAAATGGGGCTGATGAATCCGACCTCCTTTGTCAAGTGCTTTGGGATCGAGGGATAAACAATTCTAAGTTGTTATATTAATTGTCCAGCTTCTCTGGTTCTTTGGCTGCTCACTCGGGCATAAACCCAGCACTCTGGCTGCTCTTGGGGTACATATCACAGCGCCGGCTGCCACCCTCCATGGTACCAAGGGGAGAGAGTTCGGGGGTGTGCCTCACAAGATCGTTTCAGCCAGAGTGGAACAGGTTTCTGGAACCTTTGAGTCATGTGGTTTCTTTTATTACATTGGTCTGGTTCTCCAACTCCCGCTCCACATTTTCCCATTCCCATGGGTTTGTTCAGTCAGGCTGAGAATTCAGACGTGGTTTCTTATGGAAAATATAAGAGTTTTAGCCTTCCGATCCCAGCTTTTCTGGCCAAAATTCCCACAAAAGCCACCAGCCACAAAGGTGTTTTTCCACCCGCTTTGCATTCCGCTCTCTTCCCCCTCCACGCTCTAGTTACTGCCGTGGGCTCAGGGCCCCGCAAGCTGTTCTCTTCCCCAGGCCCCCGGCCAAACACAGCCCAGCTCTTGGGCACTCAGAACTACCCTCCCTTTAGATGCGCAAGCAGTGAACGCTCGACTCAGATCCGTCCCAGCAAGCTGTGTGCTTTGGAGCAGCTCCACCCCTGTCAGACAGGACAGGGATGCCCCCAACTTGGCAACACAGAGGGCTGCAGTGGCAACTGAGGGTCTTGAAGACAGCACCTGTATTTAAATGTAACAACAGGCAGCAGGGCAGCAGCATGGTTTAGTGGGTATAGCAGGGGGCTAAGTATCATGAGTCCTGGGTTCTAGGCCTGGGTCTAGTCACCTCCCGCTCTGTGCCTCAGTTTCCCCCTCTGTACAATGGGGCCATCTGGTGCTGTGTTTACACATAGCAGTGCTGCTCTATCATCCTAGAAGCAACTCATGCCAGGAGTGCCTGCAGGGTTTGAGATGTTCCCACAGCAGCTGTGCAGAAAACGTCTGGTAGCAGATGAAAGAGCATGGGGGAAGGACAGGAAAGTCTGGACTCCCTCCCCTCTGGGGCTTCCACCAGAGCCGGTCCATGGAAACCTCTGAAGGAAATAACATCTCAGATAATTCCCCCAGGTGACAACCTCAGCAGCTGATCGTCTGGACTCCCTCCCCCTCTGGGGCTTCCACCAGAGCCGGTCCATGGAAACCTCTGAAGGAAATAACATCTCAGATAATTCCCCCAGGTGACAATCTCAGCAGTTGATCGTCTGGGCCTCACTGATAAATGCATCAAAGGGAAAAGATCTCCATGAGCTCCGGCGCCCAGACATCCTGCCCAGCCTGTAGCCTTCGGTCCATCACACGCTGTTTTCTTACCACGGCTCAGAGAAATCACTAACCCTTTGGGTGTCTTTAATCCCAGTGCACCATGCACCCCCCTGCCCAGGATCCCTCTCCCAAGCTATTGGGGGTAGGGAGAGGGCAGGGTTTCTATAATCTACATCCAAGCTGAAGCCTGGCGAGGCAGACAGGAACATATCCCCAGGTGGGATCAGTCTAAACACCTGCCGGGACCAGAGGCCTGAATCGCGAGGGCTCCTGGTGGGGGAAGCAAGATGGGGCCCCAAGGGGTCAATATTCCTGCAGCAGAGAGAAACAGGAGGTAGCTTTGTGGAGCCTATGGGGGAGCCAGACATGAGAGCCTCTCGCCTTGCTCCAGAAGTGCCTGCATCAGAACAGGTGGACAGGAGCAAAGGGTGGGCGGGGGGGGGTGCACACAGAAATAGCCCCCTCCCACCCTCATCTTGGAGCCGCGCTCCGTGTGCAGCAGCAAGAGCCTGCACTTAAAGCCAGACGGCAACAGAGCTCTAATGACAGGGCTGGGGAGACGCCCTGGGCTGCCTGTTAGTTTGCTTTGCTTTCCGGGCCTGGCCCGACGCCCCCCAGCAGGCAGGAGTGGGGAGCCGAGGGCTGATCTCCCTCTCCCGATGGGCACCCCAGGGAGTTGTTCGTTCATTTCATTCACACGACCAGCACCCTCCCAGAGTCCTTCCATTCGGGGGCTGTTCTTTTGGCAAAGGAGCTGATGGCCGGGCATTTCCCTCTTCCCCGCAGGGCGTTGCCAGGGCTGGTGGCTGGTGATTATGGGACTGTGCGTGGCTGCATCCATTTGCTAGAACCGGTTGTTAAATTTAGAAGTCCTTTTAGAACCGGTTGTTCCGCGAGGGAGAACCAGTTCCAAAAGGGCTTCTAAATTTAACAACTGGCCAAAAGTGGCACCTTAGGCGCCGACTCCATGGGTGCTCCAGCCCTGGAGCACCCACGGGGAAAATTTGGAGGGTGCAGAGCACCCACCGGCAGCTCCCCGCCCCACCCATGACCACAGCTCACCTCCGCTCCGCCTCCCCCCCTGAACCCACCGCCCCGCCCTGCTTCTCCGCCCCCTCCCCGCCGGCTTCCCGTGAATCAGCTGTTCGCGCAGGAAGCCGGGGCGGGCTGAGAAGCAGGCGGTGGCTTCGCACTCAGGTCCAGGGAGGCAGAGGTGAGCTGGGGCGGGGGGTCGTGAGGAGGGCCACCCGTGCCGCAGCAGGTAACCCGGGTGGGGGGGCATGCAGGGGAACCGCTCCCCGCCCCAGCTCACCTCCGCCACCCTCGGCCTGAGCGGGAAGCCGCCGCCTGCTTCTCTGCCCTCCCAGGCTTCCCACCGAACAGCTGATTTGCGGGAAGCCTGGAGGGGCGGAGAAGCAGAGCAGGGAGGTGGGTTCAGGGGAGGAGGTGGAGCAGAGGTGAGCTGTGGTCGTGGGTGGGGCGGGGGGCTGCCAGTGGGGGCTGTGCACCCACCAAATTTTCCCCGTGGGTGCTCCAGCCCCGGAGCACCCAGGGAGTCAGCACCTAAGGCGCCACCTTTGATGTGATCAGTGGGGGAGCGTAGCTGGGGGGGAGCAGGGGGAGAGGCCGCATCAACACTGGGAGGTGGCATTCCCAATCCCCTCAGCTCTCCCGTGGATCTAAGCAGGGAGGGGTCTGTTCAGTGCTTGGATGGGAGATAGGGTGACCAGACAGCAAGTGTGAAAAATCGGGGACGGAGGGTGTGGGGGGGTAATAGGAGCCTATATAAGAAAAAGGCCCAAATATCGGGACTGTCCCTATAAAATCAAGACATCTGGTCACCCTAATGGGAGACAACCCCTCCCACACGCACACACCCACACAACACCCCCAAGGCGATGCAAGAAGCAGGCGGATGAATCGGTATGGGGCAGGCCTCTCTCTGAGCCTGGTGTATCTGGCATGGTGCTAGGGGGCGCTGTTCTGCTGGAGGGGATGTCATTTGGAGGAGGGGTTAGACTGCTGGGGTCTTGACCACGAAGGTATCGAATCTCTCCCGCAGCATGTCCCCCCGGAGCAGGAATGGGGGGTCCTGAGCACATTCCCTCTGAGGTGGTTCTTAAAGCTCAGTAAGAGCCTTGCAGCAAACCCCCCCGAGTTTTGTTACCAGAGCTGTTGAGTTTGGCATGTAACCAGCCCCCGCCTGCAGCAGAGACAGGCCAGCAAGAGACCCCTGGGCTAAGCTTTTCGTCCTCAAGGTGCACAGACCACAGCCAGCTGCTGCTGTCCCCCAGATCCTGACGGA